TCGCTAGTTTTTCTAAGACAATCTGTCCTCCATCTTTCAGCAGATCTGATGTTACCTGATCCTCACCAGCAGCTTTGCTTCTTTGCATGCTCTACAAGGCTTTCCTGACTTCTGTGGGGGTGCTGACACCCCCTGTAAAGTTGTTTGCGGCGCTTGGCGCACATGTCTCGCACAGAAGCCGTATTTCCGGAGTGACAACTGTCGGACGATAGATGGCATTGTGTTTGCGTTGAGTACCACTGTTGGAAGAATGGTAGCGCCGGCGGTGACCCCTGATGGAAGGCAGGCCTTGGTGGCGAGCGAGTATTAAGCAAGTCTCTTATGCCCATGATGGATGCCGTGAACGGTTGTCTCTAGCGTGGGTCCTCGGCGCAGTCACCGCGGCCTGCGCGTCGGGGGCCTTCATGGTAAGTCCAGCGTTTGACGCCGCCGCTTTGGTTGTGTTATTGTGTGTTTGCCATGTTTTGGAGTGTAAGGAATTTGTGTGTAAGGATGTCTTAGTGTGTTGATAACGACTGATGTATCATTCGGCGGACGATATCGTCATTGTAAATTAGATAATAAATGTATGATTGTTGTGTTGGTTTGTACCGACCGCGTATGCTGTGTCTGTTCACTCCAAGAGCATGGCGAGGCGCTCGCCTCGTAGAGACCTCACACTGGCTGCCCAACGTGGAGCTCTTGGAGTATCGGAGGGCAGTTTTTGCGGTTCGGTAGAAGCTTTTGTTAGCACCGGGGTAGAGTAGGCCTATGGGGACTTTTTTGCTAGCGTCGGCAGTGTGCTCAGTTGAGAAGTGAGGAGATTGCTTTTCTGGCGTGTTTGAACTTGTCGGCAGGTTGAGTTTTTATTTTCTTCTGCTCGCAAGTGTTTTTTTTTTGTTGTGTTAGTTTTGAAAACTGTTGTTGAATTAGAACGAGAGCCATGCGGTCTGCATCCTGGGGTGAGCAAGGCCTAGAGCACATGGTTTGCAGACCAAGCCCGAAGCGACTGAGTACGGAAGCCTCGTGGGTAGTCTGATTTTCTGTGAATAGCTTCTTCTATCTTTTTGGGCTCAGGGAGCCGGGCGTGGTTGCTGACTTGTATTGCGGCTCGACGCCGGGGCGTCGTGACACTGCCCGGGGCAGTGGATGCCGATCGCTCGGTAAGCTACTGTGTGCGGCGAGCGATAGGGCCACCTCACAGAGTAGATGTCTCCTCGTGGCTGCCTCTTCTGCGCCTAGGCTAGGTGCTGGGTGGATGCCGGTTGTTGTCGAGCGACTCATTAGGCCTAAGACTCTGCGCAGCCATCTGTCGCACGTGGCACAACTAGGTGGATTGTGGCGTTAAGGTGTTGCGCTCTGCTTCCCTCACTTTCTTTTTTATCTTGCGATGCTTGAGTTAGAAAAAGAGATTTTTGTTTTATTTTGATGGGCGTCTCGACCGCCGCCGTTGTATTATCTGGCCGTACTGACCATCGCACCACGTGGCCCGAAAGCCCGAAGCTCTCTTGCCTAGGCCCTGCTATATTGTTTCTTTCGTTTTTTTTTTTTATTCAGCGGAAGGGATGTCACCCACGGCCGGCTGTTTTCTGCACATCATCAGCGTCGCTGGCCAGGAATGCTGTCGTGAGGTCGGGCGATGGAGACGCCTCGGACCTGCGCAACTGCCTGCAGTCCGGCGCCCTCGTGAGTGCTGGTCGCAACTAGAAGACGTGTCGGCGCTAGCGACAGTTCGTTGCCCCAACGACAACGTTGATGTTGCGGGGCTGGTACTGAGGTGAAGTCGAGCCAAACAGTGCAGCAGTGTCGACCGGCGGTGGTGTCGTGGCGCAAGAACATTATGGACATGTGATGTCATTTTTTTTTTTGTTAAAGCTTGTGTAGCCTATCTTTGTTTCCGAGATATGGTTTGATTTAAGGTTGAGAGAATGTGGGGGTGCTGACACTCCCCTGTAAAGGTGTCTCGCACAGAAGCCGTATTTCGGAGGTGACAACCGCCGGACGATAGATGGCTTTGTGTTCGCGTTGAGTACCACTGTTGGTAGAATGGTAGCGCCGGCGGTGACCGCTGGCGGAAGGCAGGCCTTGGTGGCGGGTGAGAGTTGAGTCTCTTCTACGCGTGGCGGTTGCCACGAACGGTTGTCTCTAGCGTGGGTCCTCGGCGCAGCCACCGCGCACCTGCGCATCGGGGGCCCTCGTGGTAAGTCAAGCGTTGACGACGACGCCTTGGGTGTGTTATTGTGTGTTTGCCATGTTTTGGAGTGTATGTAAGTTGTGTGTAAAGATGTCTTAGCATGTTGATAACGACAGATTTATCATTTGACGGACGACATCATTGTTGTAAATTAAATAAATGTATTATTGTTGTGTTGGTTTGTACTGACCGTGCTTGCTGTGTCCGTTCACTTTAAGAGCATGGCGAAGCGTTTGCCTCATAGAGACCCCACACTTCTTTTATCATTAATGATGGGATGCCATCTGGGCTACTGCTAGTTCTTATATTAAGGTCGTGGTTGTCCTGGCTACTACTGTACAGATCTTCGTAAAACTCTTTCGCTAATTTAACTATCCTATCCATATTGGTAGTTACTTTTCCTTCTTTGTCCCTTAGTGCATACATCCAAGTTTTGCCTATCCCAAGTTTTTTCTTGCTTGCTTTGACGCCTCCTCCGTTCTTCAGAGCGTCTTCAATTCTCTTCATGTTATACCTTCGTACATTGGATACCTTATGGTTTTTAATCAACTTCGAAAACTCTACCAACTCTATTTTGTCTGTTGTACTTGAGGCTTTCATGCTTTGACGCTTCTTGATGAGGTTCTTCGTCTCCTGGGACAGCTTGCCAGTGTCTTGTCTATCGTACCTCCAACTTCCATTGCCCACTCCGTAATGATGCTCATCAGATTATCATTTATTGTGTCAATGCTAAGGCTGGTTTCCTCAATAAGAGCTGAATATATATTCTGAAGCGAGACTCAGACTTCCTGTATTTTCCCTCTCAGTGCTAGCTCATTGATTGGCTTTTTACGGATCAGTTTCTGTTCCTTCTTCAAGTCTAGTCGAATTCGAGACCGTACCATTCTATGGTCACTGCATGATACCTTGCCAAGCACTTCTACATCCTGCACGATGCCTGGATGTGCACTCAGTATAAAATCTATTTTGTTCTTATTTTCGCCATCAGGGCTACTCCATGTCCGCTTACGATTTTCTCACTTTCGGTAGAAGGTATTCGAAATTCGTAAATTATTGCGTTCTGCGAATTCTACTAGTATCTCCCTTCTGGCATTTCTAGTGCCGATACCATAATTTCCTACTGCCTGGCCTCCAGCCTACTTTTTCCCTACCTTTGCATTGAAGTTGCCTATTAGCGTAGTATATTGTGTTTTTACTTTCCTCATTGCCAATTCTATGTCTTCATAGAAGCTTTCAACAAACGCGTCGTCATGGCTGAATGTAGGCACGTAAGCCTGCACTAACTTCATCTTGTATCTCTTATTGAGTTTAATTACCATACCTGCCACCCTTTCATTAATGCTATAATATTCCTCTATGTTGCCAGCTATGTTTCTGTGGATAAGGAACCCGACTCCCAGTTCTCTTCCGTCAGCCAAGCCCCGATAGCAAAAGACGTGCCCATCCTGTAGCACTGTATAGGCCTCATTTGTCCTCTTAACCTCACTGAGCCCTATTACATCCTATTTAATACCCTCTAGCTCCTCGAATAGTTCAGCTAGACTTGCTTCACTAGATAAGGTTCTAGCATTAAATGTTGCCAAGTTCAGGTTCTAATGGCGGCCTGTCTGGATCCAGAGATTCTTAGCACCTTCTGCTGCGTTGCAGATCTGACCACCGCCATGGTCAGTTGCTTCGAAGCCGCTGGGGACTGAGGGACGTGAGTTAATTGAAGTATGCATTTAGGAGGTAGTGGCCAGGTACTGCATCAGGGCATTCAATCCTTCTCTGGTGAGGAAGTGGTGGGGGAGTCTGTCTCTGTTTCACTCTAACCAACCCACGAATAAAAAATGATTGGTTGAATAGTCTTAGAGGGCAACTTTAAGCCATTTCACGTGAACAATGTCTCATCCACTCTGGTCCACATATTCACTCCTTCGAAGCATACAATTCGTTCAAGTTGTCAATAAGGACATATTATTTTCCATCAAAATTGTCATTTATTGATGTTCTCATGACACTATTATCGGCTGATATTTTGTAAATGCGAAGGCATTTTGTAATCAGGCTATGTCAGGCATCCGGCGAAGTCAGCGCACTGGCAGGTGTTATCTCTCCGCTTTCACTCCCTCTCTCTCCCATAGCAACAGCTGCGGGCGCGCACACTTAACCTCACCCCTAGCAACCGAAGCAGGTGGTGCGAGCAGAGTAACGTGGAATGAGTGGAGAGGAGGAGCACACTGGTGTGTGAGGGCACTCACATCGTGGGAGCTCGGCAGAGCTCCCACGTGTGTGGAGAGAGTAGGTGCAGTGCTTCACCGCTTTTTCTCTTGCCGTACGCTCTCTCTCGCTCCACTCTCTTGTTCGCTCGCTCGTACGTACATATAAATGGAGTGAAGCGTGCGCCTAACTCTCGACCATTTTCTGGCTGATGATTGCGTAAATAAATGGCTACGGTACAAATCCTTGTCTCGTCATAAATTTATGCCATTAAAATTACCACGTCATGTACTCTTGGTGCAAGAATGCATTTTCATTTCCTCACGATTCCCTTCGGAGAGATGGGGGCATTTATTTATTATAACGTTACCCTTGGCCCTTATTCAGTGATGTTTTGATGATGTTATCCTCAGTCATAGTTCATAGCTAACAAGCCAAGCACTTCCCAAGAAATGTTACGATAATGTGGTCAGCCCAGGCAGAAAAATGCTACATGCACTATGTCATAACCACTCACAGAAACAGCAAACTTAAGCCAGTAAAAAGGGGTAAAAATTGTCAAGGCAAGTTAAGCTTAAGAGCGACAAACTTGCATTGTTCATGATTAAATGCAGTTCGAGTCACACACCATTCAGAGACTTCGATGTGTGGCTTGAAATTGTCCATTATTTCAGGAAGTACACCCTCATTCACAAGATTGATGATTTGCTCCTTCGTACATGGACCATACGAAGTTGAAAAACATCCCTGTTTATCTGTAAAAAAACAACATATGTTTTTCAGTGCACACCTTGTTTCAAGTATATAAATGTACATCTTCACTAATGTGCAAACGCGCTGTTGCATTGTTAGTCTATCCCCTATTCACAAAATATACCTTTCTATCAGGAAGGTGACATCTTATTATCAGCCCGTATACCTTGCACAGGACATTCTTACTCGTACTCTCTCCTTTTCGTCGTCTTTAGCTGCATACCATGGAAGACAGGAACGGCCTTCCCTGTCATCATTGCCATCACCAAACCACAAGCCTTTACTGATGCTGCAATGCTCACTGCTGTTCCTGACTGGTCCACGTTGCCCGGTCACTTCCTGTTAAGTCATTTGCACCTAGTGGCGCACATGTGTTTCACAGATAGGTCTCATTTAGGGTTAACGACCAATGAGCGGTAGGTGGCACAGTGCTCACATCGGTTCACCATAATCATAGTTATGGTTAGCGCAGTAGCACCAGCAGTGACGCCCGGCGATAAGACTGTGTAGTGGCATATTACACATGAGCAGGTATTTTTCGCGTGTGGAGGCTGGCATGAATGGTCACCTCCTACGGGGGTCCACGAGATATGATGACTGCAAGTCGTGTTTCATGGAGGCGAGTAGAGCATTGGCGATGCCACGTTCACGTTGTGCTTATTATTGTTATATTGAGTGTCTTGAAATATTGTATAAGGATGTTTTAGCATGTCACTAGTGACATATTTGATTTGGCTCGCAATATCCTCATTTGTAAAAGTAGTTGAATAAATGTACACGATGTTTGGTTTGCCCGACCGTGTCACCTGTCTCTGTGTATTTTGAGAGCGGTGCTCTGATTTCAGGACCTCACCACGTGTCATCAATTCTGTATAACCACCCCTTATGCAATAGCCCCAGAGCGGAGTCTTCAAAATAATAAAATGAGATGTGAAGAGTTGACATGGCAGAATGAGCACTAAAATTAATTGGCAATAAGTAGTGCACAAAGCATTGTGAACTGCTAAAATACAATGCAGCCAATATATTCTGAGCACGCTCACTCAATCCATGTTAACACTTGACACAAAGAATGTAGCCATAGCATACCAGTTGTGCAGTTGTGCACACGACGTAGATTCTATGGGGTCTTGAAATGATGGCCGCTTTTGCCCGACCGTGTCTGCTGTGTCTGTGTATTTTGACAGCGGTGCTATATTTTCAGGACCACACATGTATATGTTTATTTACCTGCTTTTGTATCAACAAGCTTGCTAGCCAAATTAAATACATCATTAGTGATAATTGAACAACCTTACACTATATGCCAATAGAACGCACAACATAACACAAGCTACTGCGGTGTTGCTGACGTTTGACTCGCCACAAGGTATCTCTCATTGACCCACCACTGGATACGTACGCCGCCACACGCCGCTAACCCCAAAGAGAATCTCCCTGCTGTTTCCTGTGCGCCCACCAAACCTCACCACTGGTTGGCACTGCTGGTGCTACAGTGCAAACCCAGTCAGTCTTCATATCTTGGGCAGGTGTGCACATGAAGGCTCCTTATAACCCACAAGAGAACAGCGCCACTTCTCACTAGGTGGCTCTCAAACCTAACTGCGGCTATTCCATGAGACAGGCACATATGTGTGCCATGAGGCATAAACTATTTTACAGGAAGTAATAGCATCCCCGCAATGCACACAACGAAAACTGTAAAGCCAAATAAGGTAGCCATGCTTCATTTACTGGCTACTATATTGCACGATCCACAGGTCTATGTTGTCAAGAATGAACTTGCACCTGGAAGCATTTCTAGTTGCCCCCTTGTACCAGTGCTATTTATTTTGTGTATAGTCATCAAGTGCAAAGAGACCTGTAGCAACAATCTGTAGCTAGACCATAAGTATATTGCCATTCCACTATGAGGGAGGACTTGTTTCTGACTGTCCCATCCTTTATACGTTTACCTGACGAAATATTGGCAACTCGCTGCCCTACATCTCCCTGAAGGCTTGAAGGCAGAGTGAAGTCGGCAATCAAACCGCTAGGCAATCAAGTCGGCATTAAGCTGCCCACCCGAAGCACCAAAGGCAACAAAAACCCACAGATTTTTCAGAAAAAAAATGTTGGTAGCTTGCACTAGTTACTTCTTACTTTATGAAGCAGTTTCTGAAGCCGTCATAACTGTTACAGTTACTGGTATTTTAAGAACAGATACTCCGGTTGGAGTCCATAGCATCGTAGAAGCATCTCGTGTAAATAATGTTAATCATAAGATATATTTCAAAAACAACAATCAATGTAAATTTCAAGAGGTAAATAATTTTAAAAATGGCTGGATGTCAGAAATGAGCTGTGTAACTAAAATACTAGTGTTTGTAGAAGATATCAAATCAAACCGGTAAAGCTAAGCTTCACATTTTACAAGTAACCACAGCCCCTCCATAACTGTCGCTAAATAAGCAGTAGATGATCGGTATGAGATAAAATTAATTCTGCTCATTTTCACATTTCCCCAAACTAACCTGCAAGTCTAACAAAAAAAAAAAACTACCAAATGAGCTACATGCTTAATATGCCAGTTTTGTCGCACAAATGAGATCAGAGCCGGTAATAATGCACACTAGTAGCAAACTCTAATAGTATACAGATTCTTTTGAGTTTCTTTAGGATGAATGAGCTGGTTCAACATTAAAAGTTTGTCATTCTCATTCTCTCAGTGCCATTTTGGAGCAGGTTTGGAGCAATTACTATAAAAAAATTACTGTTTGGAGCAGCATGGAGCAGCACTTCCATCACTGCTAGTGGTGCAACAAGGCTGGACAAACAGAACTTGTGATTGACCCACAATATTAGCAAGGTCATAATTAGCAAGATGCAAGTTAACATGGTGCTAATAATAAAATATTATTTAGAGATTGTAGCTAAAGTATTGATTACCATATTTCTAATTAAGACAGTCTTTATTAGCAAGATGAGTCTTCCTCCTCTGCTTCTGTCAGTTTCTCGTTTCTCTTTCTGTTCTGTGCTTTTCTTTTTTCATCAAGAGGCACACCTTTAGAAGAAACACCTACATTGCACATTCGTCATGTCAACATGAATGGCTGTGCTGACCTTATTATCTGCCAAATCACTACAGAAGTAGTATAAATATATTGCCAAAAATAGACTGTCTTCATTTGCAGTCAAAAGGACGAAGAGTGCACCCGCTGATTGAGTTGCTGCGTTTCATGCGCTAGGGGGAACTACACATGGCAGGCTGTACAGTATGAACTTTATTTAATGACCACCTCTTAGGGTGACACTGCGGGCCGTTTAGCTTTCTCAAAATTTATCCTGGTTTGGGGTTTGAACTCATGGCTAATACCTTTCTGGTGGACACTCCACGAATCCAACTAATCAGGAAGCTAGAAATTGACAGTGTAAGGGTGAATTAACCCTTTAATGACGACTGTCGCGAACTGGCGACACACTGAAAAACTGAGCAAGCATGTCACGAAATGTATGCCACCTTTAATGGCAGCCGTCAAATCTTCACGGGGAACGTAGCTTTCAGCATGAAAAATCTAGCATCGTCTCATATGGGGTATTCTATGCCAGAACCAATTGTTTTGACGTTGATGGCAGAGAGCACAAAGCATGTACAACAATTCTCACTTGTTCATTCTTTCTCTCCTGCGTAACATAAGTTCTCTTATATAATTTTGATTACAGGAAAAAACGCACACAACAGAACTAGAGGCTGTATGTTTCTCAAGTTATTTGCATCAGGAACCAACTGCTTTGTTTCATCTTCATGATCAATAAATGTTTTCCATTTGAGAATGCTGTCTTCACTGTTTCGTTCAGCCAACATTCGAGGTAGGTTTTTTTGTTCTTTTTTTCCAGGCTTCGGACTTCAGGAAGTCTGCTTAGAATCGGGGTCGGCCTAGATTTGAGTCAATAGGGTACGCGGTACCGGTGGTCAACGTGCTCCAAGAGAGGTTCAGTCGTCATACAGCCCTCGTACATGAACACATTAACGATTTGCTTGCCATCGCTATTGTTGATCGTTCATCAAATCTATCCCAGCTGCAGAAACTATACGAAGAAGTATGCTTCCACACTAGCTGCCTGGATAACCTCAGATTTCAAGCATGGGAGTACGCGGTCACTGTGTGCTCATGCGACCACTCCCCAAAGACATCGCTATTCTCTACTGGAAATGCATGAAAGAGGCGAGCAATAAAGCTACTCCAAGGTCACGTCAAGATCAGGTGCGTGACGTGATGAAGTTTCTGCAGATACAGATCGAGAGGAGAGCTTCCGTTCGAAAGGCCTGCGAAAATTCAGCCCCACGGGACATGATCGAAGTCATCCTCGTTTTCAACCATCGATACGGTTGGCATTAGCGCTGGCCAAAGAATCTGCAATGAACAGCTATGCTTGCTGCGTACTACGCTGCTACCGTGACCACATTATAAAGGGCTGCCAGACCACCATGACAGCAGATGATATTCGGTGGCAGATCGCATGATGCTTGCTGCATACTATGCTGCTACCGTAATTACACTGTAAAGGGCTGCCAGACCACCATGACAGCAGACGAAATTCGGTAGCAGATCGCATGAAAGTGCTGCAATGCCACATGACTCAAGTGCACGCACTGCAGGAAGCAGCATCTTACTGTACTTAGCAAAATATGGAAATTAGAAAACAACGTGAACACAGACAACAGTGACACAATGAAAATTGAAAGCATACGAATGAACACCAGTGCTCCCGCAAGCAGTTCTATCACAATCCCCTCATGCAAACGGCCACAGTATGATCGTCGGCAAGGCACAATTCCATGCTGGTTCGTATGCTGCTTGACACTGACAGCCAAAGGACATTAGACACTGCTGATGACATCCCCTTTGTTCCTTTAGTGAGAACACCATGGCCAAGACACTTCATAAATAACTGACCCAACAGAGACGTGGAGATTCAACCCGATAGGTATCACCAACCCTCCAGAAGCCGCCAGCACTTAGGACCAAGAATCATTGAGTATGTTAAGACAGTATGTGCACAAGGATGCCGGTATATATGTGGTTCCACTTATGATAAAGTGCCAGGGTCGATTGGCTAGCACCAACTGAAGTGTCGCAGAAAATCGACTCAAGCGCGAACTTCAGAGCTTCGAAGGACAACAGAAGCTGTTGGACGCACATGACAGCGAAATTCGAGAGTATTTCACAGAAGGTCACACCGAATGTGTTGACACCTCTTGGAAACCAGGAGCGACCGTTTACTACTTTTCGAGCCACGCCGTAGTTTGTTCAGAGGCTATCACTACAAAGATCCGTTTAGTGTTTGACACTTCTTCCCACAAACACGAGTCATCCCTCAAAGACAACTTGGACAAGGAAGTCAAACTTGGTGCTGAGCTCTTGCAACTCCAGGTTCAATTATTATGACAGCAGACGTCTGGAAGGTTTTCCTGCAAATATCCATCTGACAAGAAAACCGTGATGCCCTCCGCTTTTTATGAGTCAACCGAATCAATGACAATGAGGGGATACCACCTTCCATCGTCGAATGGCGCATAACTCATGTGCCCTTTAGAGTGTCATCAAGCCTACTCATTCTGGCTGCTACTTTGCAGCATCACGTCAAAAAGTGGAGGAAAACGGAGCTAGTAATACCTACACGCCTAAAGAATATTGTTACGAGAAGGAGACCGATTCAGAAGAATATATTCTACATAGATGTCCTTGTCATAGGCGCTTCCAGTGACAAAGAGGCTCTCGCACTCTGCCGTAACTTATTGACTAAGTGGTGCTCCAATTCAACCCTTCTTTCAAGCTTTTACTGCAGTGCTAAGCATTTGTGCTACCTTTTCGACATTCAGGATTACACTCACAGAATCCAGTGGCACTTCATCGTTGAGTGTGGTGGGAAGGCATTCGGAAACACATCATTCACAGTTTTAAGGAAGCACTCAAGCGTTACCTCTGACACAGCAGCTTGCGTTACAATGAGCTGCTCCCTGTACTAGTGGAAGTCGAAGCAGCAATCAACTGTCACATACTTAGAGGATGCACTCTTGGCAAGCACTCTCAAATCATGACTGGTACATTGCCACTATCCCTGAAGAGGAAGGTGTATAACAGCTGCATCTTGCCAGTACTTACCAACGAAGCAGATGCCTGAAGACTTACGAAGAAGGTTCAGCTTAAATTGAGGACGACATAGCGAGCGATAGGGAAGAAAACGATAGGTGTAACCTTAAGAGACAAGAAGAGAGCAGAGTGGATCACGGAACAAACCGGGGTTAAGGATATCATAGCTGAAATCAAGACGAAGAAATGGCCATGGGCCGGGCATGTAGCACGTAGACAGGATAACCACTGGTCGTTAAGGGTAACTGATTGGATTTCCAGAGAAGCCAAATGCACGAAGGGAAGACCGAAAGTTAGGTGGGCAGATGAGATTAAAAAGTTTGTGGGTGTAAAGTGGCAGCAGCAAACACAGGACCAAGTTGGCTGGTGGAACATGGGAGAGGCCTTTGTCTTGCAGTGGACATAGGCTGATGATGATGTTGACTAAGAGGATGATATCACTTAACGAAGAAACACTTTGAAACCACCCCATTTTTTAGTTGGCAAGCATCTTGTCACTCTGCCCACAAAACGAAAAAATCTTGCTCGCGATGCCACTGTGGCCAACCTTTGAAGAAGAGCACAGCATCAGGAACATTTACTTGAGAATCTGCGGAAACGGTGGAAAAAGGAATATCTTTTGTTCCTGCACACTGCACACCACAGCTTGCCTATGCTGTCATCCGACGTAAAGTTCTACGATCTCATTCTGATAGAAAATTTAAATACGTCACCTCTTACATGGAAGACGGGTCATGTCATTAAAGCGTTTCCGGAAAAATATGATACTGTAAAGCTGTCATACGCTCAGCAAGTCCAATGTCCTGTGCAGTGACTCTACCTCGTGGAGGCACACTGATGCAACACGGCAGCGGGAGTGTGATAAAAACTGAAGAGCACGATGCAGAGCAGAGCGCAAGCATAGGACGCCGCCTGAAGTAGTTGTGTTCAATTATTAAACCATGACTGAATACATCAGTCTGTCTTCTACAGTTATAGCATATGGACAAAGACCATTGACATTCCTATTTATAAAACAGTAGACAATTAATCAAGACCAATGATAATGTTTTGAATGAAGGTCTTGGTTACACAGTGTTAGCTATTGATTCACGAAAGCAAAGTGAATAGGTGGTTTCAGTCCTTCAAAGTCCAAGGGAGCATGTTTTAGTGTGACAAAGATTGATGCCCACTTTACTACTACAGTCACAGTGTGCACAAGTAAAAGTGGGTCTAAAAGTAGTTTGTGACAGAGCTGTGACATACGGCAGTAAGTTTTAATGAAGCAAACATAGCAACAGCACTTTTTCTAGTGCCATGTACTTTTTGACAGTCACCAAACAATGTTTACAATGCAAGTATTGCTTACCTAAAGGCAAGGGGTCAGCACCCTTCGGTGTTTCCTCATATTTCCATCCATCACCACCATTTTCTATTAATCGCCATGAGGTAAATGCACCTAATAAAAAGTAGAAAAGAAAACAATGTAGAGCAGTCAGTATTAATATGAGAAAAAAAGAAAAAAAAAAGCTCAAATCTGCCACAGTTATATGCGGAGAAATGGGTGGTTGGCTTAGGGCAGCGGCATCAAACAAACAGACAAACAGCCCGTAGACAGCATGCGACCCACAAACCTCTTGGTAGTGGCCCGCCATGACCAGATGCTATGTTGATAGTCGCTAGGACAATTGCCATCTTCCAAAGTCATCATCATTGCCATTAATCATCATCATTTCATAGCCACCGTGCCACGCCTCTCGCACAGCTCATGCATAGCCCAAACTGTGTGAGAACAGAACAAGTTCACAAGCCTGGCTTGTCGAATGCTGGCAGCCGCCGCCGCACCGCTTCAGACTACGAACAAAGTGGCGAGATCGGCACAGCGATGTCGGCCACCTTCACGACGTCGTCTCACGTCTCTCCTCTCCGCCGCTACATATACAAATCAGCAAGGACATATGTCACAAAGAAGACCGGTGACATGAAGTGTGATGGCACACGTGATTACCTCAACAGCGAAGTAGGATGTCATTTCTTTATTCCTTCTTTTTTCCCAAACCTAATCGAAGATAGGACACCTGTGCTGCTGTGGTGTAAAGTTTAAACTTGTGCCTATGTAACAAACAAATTATTTAAAATGTGAAAACAGTCCCACCTGTGTGCGTGCATCTGCATGTATGTAAGCAAATCATCACTGAAAAAGGCACTTGTCACCTGTGTAAATTACGTGATTCATTTGATTTGCATGCACCACTATGCACCAGTTCACATAGGAAAACAAAATGTTGAAACATTATGCAGCTTTAATTCAGCGGTGTCGGCACAAAAGAAATGGGGAAGTGGTAATGCTGTGCATGCCTTTCATTCAAAGGGAGAGAGAGAAAATACTTTATTAGAAATAGATCAATCACATCAGGCACTGCCCTTCAGCCAGAATCCCTCAAGACACGGCGGCAGCTAGGGCTTGACTGATGATGTCTATATTTCACAATACTGTCAACTCTATTGTGAGAGACCTTACAGAGAGGGTAACATAATAAAAAGAAGAGAGAACATCATCCGCAAATACACATATACAGGTTACATCAGGATCAAGCGGTACACTCGTACCGATAGTCATCGAACATCTGTTCAGAATCTGACAAATCATACTGTTCGACAACGCACATCAGCAATTCATTCCGCATTTAAATTATATCAGGAAAGAAGGTGTATCTGAACCTATCATTATGAGTTACGTACGCTTGGATCGCCCTGCTGTGGTTAGTTCTTGAGCTTTGTTTACCTGGTGGCAGTAAGTATACTTCATGGTTAATATTTAGCTGACCACAGAGTACTTGAATAGCTTCAGATCTTTTTTCCACCTATGCATTTCCAACATATGTAGGTCACAAGAACGGATAATTTCTGTGACTGACCCTGCCCTTCGTTCACGGGAGCATGTAAATTGCACCACTTACCTCCCAATTTTTTCCATTTGTTCATTTAGACAATTTTCATGAGGACCCCCATACTGCTCACATGTACTCTGCAACTGGTTCTACAAACGTTTTTTAAGCAGCAAGTCTCACATTGGCTGCTGCACCCTCTAGTTTCGTTCGCAGGATCTTGTATGAAGAAACATTGCTTATGTGTAAGCTCCAGGATAAATTTTGCATTATCATTAGTTCTAGATATTTAAAGTGAGTAGTATTTATTAAGCACTTGCTGGACGTTGGGGTCTGGGCTCTGAAGCAGAGCTTCCCAGGAGTGTGTGAACCATCATTCTGACTTGGACATGTCCACACCATGTGAACCGAATTTGCTACCTCATCACAAAATTTGCGCTGGGTCCAGAAAACTTCTGGGTGTAATTTCCTGTAGAGTACAGGGTTTGGAAAAACCCTTGCCTGCAGTAACTTTGGCTAAAAAGCCCCCTTTTTCTTACTGAGCAATCTCTTTGCTCCCGTGTACACTTTCCAATTTTGCCTATAGTGTGCTACGATTTTAAGGTATGTGAATATCCTCACTTGTTTAGGTAAGTTCGCTAACTAGAGGTTCTAAGGATCGCCTGATAAGCGAGACCTTCGGTAACCAAATGAGCCTCCTCATTCCCTCCCCTGGTTTGCTGGAGCCCAGATGAGCTGCACAGTCTCTCTGAGTACTCCTGCGGTGTTTAATATACAGACGGTAGTCTCCGTCACCTTTCCCGATTTATAATTTATCACAACATTTGTGGAGTCACTGATGACCACACTGACCCCCTTTTGGCTGATGGCCAAGGCTACGGCCACTTCCTCGGCCTCTACAATACCGGCCCCACAGACTGTGCAGCACGCTCAGGGCTCCGTCTTCCCTGACTACTGTGTGCGCCGTTTTGCTTTTATATTACGCAGCATCTGTATACAGGAGTGAAACATTAAATGAACACTAAATAAAAAGTTATTTTTTTTCTCATTAGCAAATTACTCTTTTCCAATAACAAAATCACTACACTTGTTGTGAAAAGATTCTTGGTAAGTGCGAAAAGGTGTAAAAACAAACTCCTGGAGGAAAAACCATCTTGAAATTCTTGTACCAGTAGACCTCTCCCTGTTTGTAAACAGTGTGATGTCACTGCGGACACCATACCCTCTCTCGGAGCAGGTGCTGGTTGGCAAGAAAGCTCCGCCGCCGGCATCTTTCTGCATAGCAGAACTGCATGTCTACATACCTTCGACAGAAATTTCTACATTGCTATGTTCTAAAGTCACAGTTTTTGAAAGGAGGGGGTCGCGGAAGGGTCATTGCTCATAGTCTGGAAATTTGTTTGTCGTAGATGGATGGATGGATGGAGAAACTTTATTTAGAGTACTGAGAGACGCGACTAGCACGAAGTGGGCTTCACCCACGTAGATGACAGCCATAAAAAATCTGATATTTTTTGAAAGCGAATGTTTTGAATGTACATGGTGACTGGCAATTTGAGGAATATTTGCATCGCATGGATGTAAACTTATTCATTTTCCATCCCGGCATGTGTAATGCAGTTTTAGACGAGGTACAGCATTGGCGGCAGCATGGTTTTGAGCTGCTGTGCGCGACGTCATGGATAAGATTCTTAATCACTGCGAAAAAGTCTGATCGAAGACGAATGAAAAAAAAAAAAGAAACACTTCTTGCCATGCGTTCGGCTGAGGTTAACATAACCCCGTGAAAGTGAAATTCTGCCGCTGCATTTCTCAATAACTCAGTGAAAATTCATGTGGTGTAAAACCCGACAACTTAATAATATATAATATTATCTGGCACGGTTAGCTTGCTCCATTTGACAATTACAACGTGTTTGGCATCTATATTGCTCCTTTAGTGTTGATACACAAGCTTCTAATGCGCATTGTCACTTCATAAGAATCGAGCCGTAAAAGTACAAAGTAAATAAGAAAGTGAAATCTCCGCTGTTTCTATTAATGCGTATCAGATATGCGATAATACGAGTTATAGCCGTGTTGAAGTGTATATGCAGATTAAGCAACGCTACAACATGCTTGTAGCTCATGCGTACTTGTATGTATCACCCGGAGATCGTGCACTTTTATTTCTCTGCACATTGCGCGTACGCTAAGATGTACCCATTCGCAGATGATTGCGTCAAATGCATTTTTACCTTGACTAAAATGTCAGATAGTGAAGTTCCATCGACAACCAGTTACTGCAACCTGCCCACAACGAATACCAGTGTTTTCGCAAACAGTACGCATCGCGTTATTCACACTGCACACACCACGCACAATATTCCCAGTTTCACCGTCCGTAAAGGTGAACCAATACTGTCGATGCCTTTCAACGCGCACTACACGCCGCAGTCAACACTGCACATTTTGGAAGACGATGCCGCTGTTCATCGCACCGGCCGCCACGTGTGTTCACTTATCTGAGATAAACAGCCAGCCAGCGTTACAAATATTTCATCACTCACTTTACCACACACCTAGATGTTCTCTGACACATACCACAGCTAATGTTGCCACTGTGAGATGAAGATTAAGCTTTTAAAAAGAAAAAAAATACCCCAAGCACCGAGCGACTGCACCCCACTCAGCAACCAGCGGGAGTATTTTGCCAACCACCACCTTGCACGTGCCTCGGTGACGTCACACTGTGACGTACCCCTGTAGAGGTCTATTGCTGAGACATCACATAGTTTAATGGTATCTGCTAAAGTCTGTGTGGGATGAGTGATCAAATAAAAAGGTGCAAAATGGGTATAAATGAAGTTTTCATTCAAAGAAGTGCCTGATCACAGCCATCCTACTGATGAATGAGCCAAAGGATACCTTGTTCTCAGAATTCCTGTGACCGTGACAAGACCTAGTCCTTGACAACATCACTGATTTCGTCAACCAAGTTCAAGTCTTTTAAATGTTTTTTTTTTCAGGGGTCCAAACACATGGAAATGGCAGATGTTAACAGCGGCCAGTTTAAAGAGACACTAAAGGCAAATATTAAGTCAATATTGATTGCTAATATAGTGGTTTAGAAACCACTGATGGTCCACATCGCATTAACGCACTTCAAATCACCCGCCTGAAAGCGTTCTTTTTGTCGTCAATGTTACCATGCCCCCCCATCGCTCGCTTGTCCTGCGTGGCTACTAACACTAGTAGCAGCAGAGCGAAAATAGTGGGAGCAAGAGCTGCAACAAGGGCCATTGAACAATTTCCTGCTCTTAGTTCAGCTGGGCCCTGTTAGATGGCACCACCTACCCCGCCGGAAGCGCAACATTTGAACCATTTGTGCCATTCCTCATAATAACATTAGGCATTTTTTAAATTAATCAAACAGAAACAAACCAACACAGTTTCATTATGTCTCTTGATGCATGGAAGATTCTTTTTTATTACAGCCAGTTTGATTACTAGGTACTAATCGTAGCCTGATGCTCTCACGTCATCGAGATCATTTCCCAAATCTCTAACTTGTGGCGCACTTCGTATGATA